TATAGCTTCCCTACCCAATTAGGGTCAAGACAGCAAATTAAAACGAGTATAAAAGTTAAATTTCTAACTTCCACTCTAAGGTGATATTTTAACCAGTATGGAACTTCTTTCATATATAAGACAGGATAATAAAGTTAACTGCACATTCAACACACAAAGGTAATTTATATCTGTTGTCAAACAAACTAAAGTCAGGAGAAGTCAAATTATAAATCCTTAAATCCTTAGACAAGATATCAAATGACTGCCTTTTCAAGAAGGTCAAGAATAAAAACAAATGTGGTTTGTTTTTCCTTTCTTTTCCAGAGGACGCAGTGTTAGGAGTTGTAGTTGAAGACATTAGTGAAACAGGCTATATGAACAACCATTTAAACATGGTATTTGGTCTTGTACTTATGAAATAAGGCTCAAATCCTTACAACTCACCTAGAAGAGAACTTACTGGTAGGAATTATTAAAAAAAGTTAAATATCTGTAAGAAGGCAAAAAAGAAAGAATTCTACGTGAAGGCTTTCAAGAAACAGGAAAAAAATTGGTAGACATGTGTGGAGACTAAGAACAGGTAAGAAGAGAAAAAACAATTGACAGATAAAATCTGGGAATAAAAACGCAAATTGATGGAAAATAAGGTAGAGAACTAGCTTTGTGTCAAGATTAAATAACTCATCGCTTATCTCAACCATCAGCCAATGACTAATTGAATTAAATTCTGGAAAAGATACACATGTTCATGTCTTATCAAGTACAAATAAATTTGTTTAATTATATAACATATCCTTATTTAGTAAGCAAGATAACTTAATGAAAATTTTGTTTAATTTGATTTGATTCTTTGGACATGTCCATATTATTAGTAAACATCAGAATTCATAGGAATTGAGTGGAAGATTATTTTACTTTTTTACAGAAGGATTACTATTATATTGAGAAAAAACAGACACACTCCTCTTTATGATAGGCATATTAGTTTAGCTATCTTAATTTATAAGTAGAAAGGTATCATAACTGTATGTAGGTGTGACTATGAAGACAGAGTATTGATTCTGCGGTTTGCAGCTGCATTAGCTATTTGAAAAGTTCATTACTGTCTGTAACCATACTTTTTTGATCAGGGGCTAGCCTATATATTTACAGTAGATTATGAAAGCTTTAAAATTAAAATGTTCTACAAGTTACCTGTGTATTTATTACAAACAATATATATATATTACAAAACCCATTAAATCTTAAGTGTTTATTATCACTTAATAAAAAAGGGGAAAAAATTACCAACTTTCAGTGTTTCTTCATTTAAGGCATTAAAACTTAATGTTAACTCCAATGTTTATAATTAGGTATTCTAAAGTGCCAGCACAAGAAAATCTTTTATTACTTGGCAAGACCTAGCAAAACAGGACTTCTGCATAACTGAAAAAACTTATTTCAATTTTATAAAATTTCTACTGCTGCTGCCACATAAGGCCCTTCGAAGGAGCACCCAACTGTACTGGATTCATTAATTTGGGAGGTTTACCATAGTATTATGTATCTGAGCTCATTATTCAGGATAAGATGCAGCTACCTTAAAACGTGGCCAGAAATTACTGTCAGAAAAACTTAATAATATAACTGTTTTCATTAAAGGTTGTACAGCTAACTGTACAAAACTCCAAGGATACTATTATGTATGAAGACCCAGCACATTTTTGGAAGGAACAGTATCTAGCATATTGTTTCACAGAAGAGAAACACTCAAATAATGGTAAATAATGAGAATGAAAAACAAAAGCAACAAATCCATATTCAGACTATGGCCACAATGAATTAAAATGATTTGCTTAATCTTAATTCTGTATTAAAGAGCTCAACTGTTGCTTTCCAAAGGCCTGGTAGCACAATGAAACTGGACAGCAACTATATAAATTAGATCTTGAAACACAAGATTTGCACAATAATTTCCCACCGTGAATTGGAGTATACTTTCATTCCAAATAATACATTTGAAATATATTTCAAACATCGCATTTTAATGCAAACTCCAAATAGTATTCTATAAAAACTCTTCAGTATCTTATGTCCAATTTATTATATATCTTTCACTTTGAAAATAACCAGCAAAGTCACTATATAAGTGAAAATCCACATACTATTCTTCACTAACAGAACATATTCTGAGGCAGCAACATCTTGGGAGTACAAATAAGCTCATTCTGTAAATATGTATGAAAATAACAATCACTCATATTATGTGTTACACACTCTGCTAGGGACTTTTCATACTTCATCTCAAATCCTTACATCTCTATGAGTTAAGTTTTATCATCCTATTTTACAGATGAAGAAAGTGAACTAAAACTCACAGAGGTGTCCCATAACTAATAAGAGAATGTAGAAGTTGCCTATATTTTCATCAGTCCTTTCTGAGATGTGGAAGTAATTTATATAATTATATATATAACTCATATATATACAATTTATCAGTTAACCAGTAAGTTTTCAAGAATGCTATACTGGGCCTCCCTGGTGGCACAAGGGGTTAAGACACAACCTAAGAAGCTATCTGCAGCCACTGCAGCGACAAGTTTGATCCCCAGCCAGGGAGCTACCCACATGGCGCAGCAGACCTCTCCTGACTGGCCTGCTGCTCCCCTCAGCAGTGTATTTCAGTCAATCTGCCTGTTCTGTTCCCCACTCTCTCTGGTGAATCCTCTCATCACCCCCACCCCACACTTCTGGCCTGTACCCCAGTTCTTGTATGCATAAATAAATAAATCTTTTAAAAAATGCTATACTGAGTAATATAATCTTATGGGTATTTTGCTGAGACAGAAGGGACTTACCTTTCAGGATTACATTTTTTAAAACTATTTTAATTTAATGCACACCCAAATTCAGAACCTAATCCAGGTTCTGAATCTCTGGTTTAATGTCAATTCTATATCTAGATGTTATGGAATATGGAAGATAATTAAGCCATTGTAGCCTTCTCAAGACTCAAAAGAAATGATCTAACACAAGTCAAAACTCAGGTACTTCTACAGATACCAAGTCACAGAAGTGGGCCTAAATTTTATCTCTGACTACGAAAAACCTAATACAAATGATAGAATCCATTATTTAAGGTATTCATCCAAGCAAAAAAAAAAAAACAAGGAGTGAAAAAAATCAGCAGTCAGTATGTGAGAAAGAAGAATTTACTTTGCAAATATGGTCAGATATGCCAAATTTGGTTAAACTGATATGTGTCCAATTACTCCAAACATACTGGTAGACTAGTATATTAAATATTACATAGACCTCACTGACTCACATAATATAAATGGCTGGACTTCCAGTTTGCCTTTAACCATCTTTTCATTACTTAAAATTTCACTTGTAATCAATGACATTAAGTTAAAAACAAGGAGTTTCTTCAGAATTACAGTTAGATCAATTATAATATTGAAGATGCATACATTTTGTCTTTTTCTGAAAACTCTTACAGGCGACTTACTAAGTCTTACTCTACACCTTTTTCTTCGTTCATTTGCTATCCCAGGACAATTACACACAGGGCATGGTAGGTTCAACAATTTAATTTTTCTACAAAAGCTCAAACAACAGAGGCACTCTTCTGCACGGAATAACAAAAAAAAAAAAAAGAATCACGGCCTCGATGAAAAACTTCAAACACAACAAGGATCTGGGGGGACAGTCCAAGGTTCAACCACACTAGGTGTAAATCTGATCCCCTGGGTCTGTAGCACTGACAGTCATTCAACTTTCTTTTTCATATTCCCATTGTGCTTTTTCTGGTACCACAACAAGATGCACCTACAGTTTCATCAACCGGTCGGAACGCCTTATTACCTTTCCAAAAATTTTACCGGTGCGAGGACTGGGGGCCAAGGGAGGGGGCGGGGGGCCAGGGGCACCCGCGCGAGTCACAGGAGAGAGCAGAAGCACGCAGGGCACACGCTCCTGGCAGGCCTGCTGGGGCTGGCTCCTGTGTCCCTGGGGCTGCGAGGGCAGCAGCAGCAGCCATGGCAGGGACTCGGGAACCTTTCCCCTGCCTCCTCGGCTAGGCCTCGAGGGGTTTGCTTTTCACTTGGCCCCCGGGTGGGGGCGGTGGGCGCAAGGTGGTGGCTGCAGCCGCAGCAGCGGGCCAGGGGAGCCGGGTCCCCCGGAATCCGACCTCCGGCGGGCTGGCAGCAGCAGCAGCAGCAGCAGCAGCAGCAGCACCTCAGCGCGGCCCCGGCTGCAACGCCGAGGCTCGGCGGGGAAGGCCACCTTTCCACACACATCTTTCCCCGCTGCCTCCTGCTCCGTTAGCGCTACCGGTCGGCGGGCGGGGGAGGGGAGCGAGGCGCGTTATTCCCGGGGTGCTGAAGGGGGGAGGGGAGGGCATTTCTTACCCGCGTTACTGAGGAGGAGGAGGAGGCGGTTGGAGCGCGGCGCGTGGGGCGACGGCGGGGTTGGGTGGGTGCAAGTAAGAGTCTTACGAAAGGGAATTAACCCCATCACCAGCCCGGACACCGGCTCCAGCGGCAGCCGCGGCTGGCAGAATCCCGCCCCTTCCCACCGCGCACTAGCCCCGCCCCTTCGTTCTCTTTGAGGGGGAGCCGGCAGCTCATAGGTTGGATGGCCTCAGAATGACATGACGACTATCCAGTCAGGACTGCAAAAACTACCTTTTCTCCACCCCTTTATCGCCTCCGGAGCAGCGGGAGAGCCGTGCCAAGTATTTCTCCACCCTCAAAGGAGAAAGGACCAATCGGTGATGAGGAACCGCCCTTGAAGGACGCGAGGGACAACCAATGAGGAAACTAAGGGGACAGCCATTTTGCCCACTTGTGAAACAGCCACCTTTTCCCACGAGTTAGGTCCGGAGGTAGGGGAGTTTGGGGAGTTTCTGCTGACCTGGAGGTACTGGGAAGACAACCATATTTCTTCGAGAAGAATTTATGGTGCTTTATAAGAATAAAGGAAAATCTTCATCCTACATGTGGGTGGAAGTGAGGAATACTGATTCAGGTCTTAGCTCCTCCCCTTAGCGGTAACGGGTTCTAACCCGAACACCTGGTTTCACTAGCGTCGGGGGGAGAAGGCGGGAGGACTGTCCTTTACGGCCCAGGGCGGACTACAGTTCCCAGCATGCCTTGCTCCCACCCGCAGCCTTGTCTCCGTTTACTTCCTGCGATGCCTGACGGGAATGGTAGTTTCTAGGAAGAGACAAGAGAAACTTTTGAATGATTTGGAGTTGGGGCAGGCAATTAGTTGTGCAAACCTGTAGTGAACCCATTTCGCCGCTCTTACTGAAGAGAGAAGGCTAACTAGTAGTCAGAAGAGTTTTCTGAGGACGTTTGCAGAGGTTTTAGAGTCCTGGAATTTGAATTATCTTACTTTCAGTTTGGCCCTCTTAAGTCACTTCCGCTTTGGGGCGGACACTTGCCAAACCTGTGGCGGGAGTTGGAGATTCTGCAGCGACTGCACCAGGTGTGGTGGTCCGGGACTGGCTGGCGGGCTAGGTTGTAGTTTTCTGCCGAAGAGCTAGGAAATGGAGCTGAATGTCAATGTATTTAAGGAAGTGTGAGTGAAATGGGGTGAGGCTTAGTTTCACAAGCCATTCTCCACCCCTGGCCTTCAAACCCAGAGTCCCACATTTCTTGTGTCTTGCCTTGCTCGCTTTAGATTGCACCCAGAGCAGAGGATTCCTCTGCTTCTAGCCACTGAGCCTGAAGCACAGCTTCACGTTCTATTTGATTAGGAAGAATGGGCTCAGTTGTGAGCTAACTTCCCATTATTTTACAAAACTTCTAAAGGTTGATTTGAAGGAGAAAAGCTACCGAAGGTGTCAAGAGTGATAGAACCTAAGAATAGTTCTATTAGTTTTTGTTGTTTTGTTTTGTTTTTTAAAGCTTGCATCAAAAAGTGGCGACTTCTTGGTACTCCCCTTGCCCTGGCCTGGCCCTGCGGGAAATGAACTGATGAATGAAGTCATCATTGTAAAGATTTCGGATCCTGTAGTCTACAGAGGTAAATTTTAGGCTCTGGTTTGGGCCCCTCCCCCTCGGGATGCAAAGTTGACTATATCTTTGTTGGACGTCCCTTTCCGGTACCTTGGAAAACTTATTGCATAAAGGGGATGCAGAGAGAGTTAACGGGGAAAGGCCTTCCCTCCTCCAGCTTGATGGCTTTCATTCCTAAACTTTTCCCCATCATTTTGAGTGAGAGTTTCTGAGTTAAATTTTAACTCAGTATTCCTTATAGTTTCACGAAGACTTTCTCTTATAAATAATGTTGTAAATATTTATTGAATACCTAATCTATACTAGGTACAATACCAGACTTTGGATATAAAGCAGTGCCGCCCCCCCAAAAAAACCCTTAAGGTTCCTAATACAAAACCAGTGACACAAGACCTAGGCCAAACAAAATTGATGGTACTGGTACTTGTTCTTTAATCTCTTTAAACCATTTTCATTATTCATGTGTTGTGCATTATTTGACCTCTTTTCCATTATGTGGGTGGATAATACATTAATAAGTGTATTTTTATTTCTATTTTGTTACTGAAGCATTGATAAAGTCTTTGTTCAATATTAATTTGTATTGTTTATTCACCAACTAGATGATAAGTTATATAGTATAATCCTTTTAGATCTAGGAATGTAATCATGCCTTTCAGCCACTTTTGTGGATCCACCAGGCAAAGTGTTCTCTGCTTTTTGAATGCAGTTGGGGTTCTCAGTTTAATCTAGCTATATGGTCTTTTCTGAGGATTTAGTTTTTTTTGTGTATGAGTTCTTCCAAAGTAAATCAAGTCAGTAAATATTAGTGATGGTTGTCATTTCATTGTGTTACTTTACCTCTGAGCCAAGAATAAGTGCTTTAAAGTACATTTTTCTCTGCAACAATCTACATGAAATGTTACCTGTTATAGTGGAAGAAATTGGGGACTCAGTAAAGTTAAATAACATGTTAAGGTCCTCAGCAGTAATATATCCCTCTATATGTCAGACGCTTAGTGAGAAAGAAATGTAAAATCCATTCTGAGATTCCGGAACCAGTGGTGACAGTCCCTTCCTATTTTCAGCCATCACTTTCAGTGTATGAAATATGTAATCACTGTACTTAACAGCATAGGAAAATATAAAAAAGAAAGTAAAGGTCATCTGTAATCCTATCACCTAGAGAAACCTATGTTAAATTTTGGTGAGTATCCTCATAGATATCTAAATACACACATACTTATGTTGTTATACTAATTTCCTCTTGTAAACATCCTTTTTAGCTCAGCTTAACTCTACATTGGTCTTTGCATGACCTAATAATATATATATATATTTTAAAGATTTATTTATTTATTTATACAAGCACTGGGTAGTCAGAAGCGCGGGAGGGTGAGAGAATTCACCAGAGCCAGAGCGGGGAGCAGAGCAGGCAGAAGGACTGAAGTACACTGCTGAGGGAAGCAGCGGGCGGCAGGAGAGGTCTGCGCGCCATGTGGGACCCTCCTCCGGTGGCCGGGGAGCAACCGGGAATCAAACCGGCGCTGCAGAGGTTGCGGGCAGCTTCACAACCCAGCGCTCAACCGCTGCGCCACTGGGGAGGCCCTAATAATATTTTTGATGACTATCTGGTATTTCATTGTATGTCTCTAATATTACCAGTTAGTTCTTAGCTGATGAAGTTTTTGTATTATTTTCTGTTAAGTTTTTTTGTAGTAAAAAACAAAATTAACCATCTTAACCCTTCGTAAGTGTACATGCACCTTGTTATACAACAGATCTCTGGAATTTTCCATTTTGCAAAATTGAAATTCTTTACTCATTGAAAAACCATTTCTATTTTCCTTTCCTCATCCAGCACTGACAGCCACCATTCTACTTTCTGTTAAGAATTTGACTGTTAGTATTTGTCTTTCTGTGAAGGTCTCATTTTACTTAGCATAGTTCCTCAAGATTTGCCCAGATTGCAGCATATGAGCTTTCACCTCTTAGCTATTTTGAATAATGCTACTGTGAACATGGGTGTATAAATAACCTTTTCAGGATCCAGATTTTATTTCTTTTGAACATATATCTCAAAAATGGAATTGCTGGGTCAATTATTAGCTGTTAAAAGCAATGCAGTCATGTGCACTATCTGCCTTATCCTTTATTTCTGTTTTTTAAAGATTTATTTATTTATGTGTACAAGAGCTGGGACAGCCTGAGGTATGGAGGGTGAGAGGATCCACCAGAGACAGAGTGGTGAACAGAACAGGCAGATTGAAGAAAGTACATTGCTGAGGGGAGCAGCAGGCTTATCAGGAGAGGTCTGCTGCCCCATGTGGGCTTTTCCCTAGCCTACAGGGGATGGAACTCATGTTGCAGAGCTGCGGATTGCTTCATAGTGTGGTGCTTAACCCCCTTGCACCACCAGGGTGGCCCTCTGACTTATCCATTAAATCTAACTTTTTTTATAACCTCTCAGCCCCTCTCCAAGTACTTCAAATTGAACATTTCCCCTAATTCTGTACCTCTTTTCTTTATTTTCTATTTCACATGCTTATTTGGTCATGAAATATTTATTGATCACTTTCTAAGAGGGGTACTGTATAATGGTCAAGAGAATCAACTCCAGGATGCCCAGCTTTGAATCTCAATTCTGCCATTTATCCCTTGGGTGACTTTGGGTACACCTTAGTGAATGAAATTTCTGTCCCTTAATTTTCATATCTGTAAGACAGAGACTGTAGAATACCTACCTCAAAGGCTGTTTAATAAATGACTTAACATATGTTAAGTAAATGACTTAATATATTTAAAACACATAAGATTTGCCTAGCACATAGTGTGTGTTGTTTTGTTAATATCATTGTTTCTGTTACCTTGGCTGATGGTAGAGTGCTGAAGTAAAACAATGATGGGCCAAGTCAGTTTATGGCCCTTGCCTTTATGAAGCCATTCTAATAAAAGAGTGAAATAAAATTCAAGTGAACAAATCAAAATAATTGCCAATGACAGTAAGTGTTTTAAGAAAACCAACAGATATTAGGGAAAATGAGGGTGGGGGTGTCCAATTGTGAGCTATTGCAGCATGACAGTTAAGTAGTGATAATTTCGGATGGATGATGGTGATGGGACTGGTAATAAGTGGATTTAATTTGATGGCTAAGGTAGATGGAGAAATGAAAAACCCAGGTTCTGGTTTTAGTAACTTGCATGGTTGTGGTATTATTGAGAGATTGGGCAGGGAGTAAGCAAGTACTTTGGTTTGGACATTTGGGTTAGAAATGTTTGTAAGATACCTAAAATGTCAGGTAGGTAATTTGATATAGGCAACTAAAACTAAAGAGATTATAATTGGTATTACCTGGATTATTTGCTATGGTCTTCTCAAGGGTTGTCTCTGCTCCCACATCCATTCTTCCAAATATGACAAGGTAATCTTGTACAAGGTAATCTTGTAAAATAGTGACCTGACTAACCTCTTGGAAAGTTTCCCAATTCCTTCCAGAATAAGGTTCAAGATCTTTTAGCATGGGCTATGAGAATCTCTCTGACCTGTCCCTAACACTTGTCAAGAGTGTTATTCTTTGCCTATACTAAGCACCTTAGGATTTTCTTAAACTTTGTGCTTATGCAAATACAGTTTCATTCAGCCTAAAATATTCTTATCTTGATTCACCTGCAAGCACCACTCTTCAAGTTTCAAAGAGTTATATCAAAAATTTAAATAAGATCTATATACCAAGGAATTTTTTCTTCTAAGTGAAACTTTGATACTTGTTACCTTACATAGCCAACACTCCTACTTATGTAGGAGATCTTGTATATATTCATATTTAGATATATGTATATATACAAATATATGCTTATTTTATAGCCCTTACTGCATTGTATTGCAATTATTTGTTTACAGTTTTCATTTTTTTCCTAGATTGGGCTCAGCAGTAAGATTTTAATGGCACATATTCATCCTTGTATACCTTTTGCAGTTATCTCACATAAAGGTGTTCAATTAAGTATTTGTTGAATAAGTGATTTTAAGAGGCAGTGTTGCATAGTGGCAGAAATTCAGACTTACAAATTAGACCAATCTGAGTTCCAGATTTAATATCACCCATGCTAACTGTGAAAACTTGAGTAAATTATTTAACATCGTGGAACCTCAAGTTTCATGTCCTTAAAATGAAGATGATATTACTTATGTTTGTGAGTTGTTTTGAAAATTGCAGGAGGGCCTCCTGGGTGGGGTGGTGCAAGGGGTTAAGCACAGCACTGTAACGCTTATCCCAGCCTCTGCAGCATGAGTTCAATACCCTGCCAGCTAGGGAGCTACTCACATGGCTTAGCAGACCTCTCCTGTCTCACCCACTGCTCCCCTCAGCAGTGTATTTCAGTCAGTTGCCTGTTCTGTTCCCTAATCTGTCTGGTGAATCCTCTCGCCCCCCACACCTCTGGCCTGTGTCCCAGTTCTTGTATGCATAAATAAAATAAATCTTAAAAAAAAAAAAAGAAAATTACAGGAGATTTCCTAAAATCTATCCTAGTGCTTCACAGAAGGTCACTCAATAAGTATTTTATCATTACTGTGAAAACGGTTGACCATAGAGTGAAAGAATCTGGTGTCCTTGCTATAAAAGTAAGTGATATAGATATGGCAATTTAAAAAACCCCATAAATGATTTTAAAAATATCAAATGATGCTATAATTTAATGAAATTTAATATGACATTTTATTAACAAAAACATGATTTCAATTTATTAAACTGAGGTTGTAGCTTACTGGTAATCAATAAGTATATGAGATATAAACATGTAAACAAAATGTACATTTTGGTAAGCATGGAGTATGTTTAAATAAAATAGTATATTCCCAAGTCCTAATTGAATCTGACAAGTTCCTATGATTGAATATGACTTTGTGCATAATCATTTTGCAAATATTTGAGTAGCTCTACAGACATCTTTATTCTTTATCTTTTTAGACTCATAGTCACAGACTGTTTTTTGTCTAAGCGTATGGTTTCTGGAAATGATATACTT